ACCAGTTTCAACTGTGCATGTGACTGTTTTAAATTAATTAACGAACACGGTTCAAGGTTGAAAACACTGCTTTAAATATCCGTATTACAAGATCATGCAGTTAAAATCCATAATTCTAACTTCTCGCGTCTATAACTTTAAATAATACTAGTTTCAATAATAGAGCTCCTCTACCTTAAATATTACTGCTGTTTCTAATATCATTGTGTCTCATGCTAAAGGCAAGAGTCTAATTAATTCTAACGAATTGTCCTGTATTCTTTCATGCAGCTAAATGTGGTTGTTATGAACGAATGGACTAGGTAAATGTGTAAATATGACTTAATATGTCTCTGTGCGTTGTTGCCTGTCTGTATAATTTACCTTCTGTGGTCTAATTAGGCCAGCCACGTCTCAAATGTCCGTTAATGTCTTTCTTTTACTCTGCGACTTTCATGTTTTTGTCTCAAAGATGTCCAATGTCTTTTGTCTCCATGTCTTTTTCCTTCTTCTTTAAACAATCACTTTCTTTATTCTTCTTTCAATAATCACCTTCTTTCTCTTTCAATCACTTTCTATGTTCTTTCTTTGTCTCGTGTGTGTCCCTTCTTCTTCTTGTTAGGTTTACAAACGTTCTCTCTCCGTGCACATAACTCCACTCGGTATGTGCAAAAGTTCTGGTTCTTTCTCATGAAATGGGAGGCCGGAGAGGTCTTCATCGAGAGTTCCTGTTAGCTGCTGCAGCCGATTGCTGCAGTCTTTGCTGCCCCCTGTGTGTGAAACGGGGGCGACGCCGATGGGTCCGTGCTGATGGCGCCGATAGCGGCCACCACCACCCCCCCCCCCCCGCCCCACCCCCCCACCCCCCCCTCCCCCCCCGGGGCGGGTCTTGTTGCAGACGATTTAGGCCAAAATGAGACAGACAGAGTTTTCTGCGGAAAAAACAGACAAACAAGAGCACAAAAGTAGGTGTTTATTCCCCATACGAAACCAAAGATTAATTACAATCAAAACTAAACCTATGAAATAATTAATTATTACATTTAAACATTAACTTCTGAAAAAACCATTCTGCCATTCAACTGCTATCCTAAGCCTACTTTTTCCAAAAGTATAATGCTCTCTAAAGATAACTTCTAACTTTTATATCACCAAAATTAGGGAAAAAAAACTTGTCCAGATACAAAATAAAAATAATAATGCTATTTATAATCCTAACTCAAAGTTCTGTGATCCTTATGACTCCATGGTCAGTAATCCATTATCTTGTGTATATATGTAATTTTCTACAAAAAATTCTTTCTTTCACGAGAGGAGGAGAGAAAGACCAGAGAGGAGAGGAGAGAGAAGAGAGAGAGAGAGAGAAGGAGGAAGGGGAGAAGAGATGGGGACAGAACGAGGGAGGGGAGGGGGCCGAGTGGCTTGTATGCTCAAGCATTTTTCAGAGCGGGAGCCAGGAGGGAGAAGGAGGGGTGTGTGGTTTCTCAAACAGAGGAGTACTTGTACGACTGAAATACACCTATTCATGAACATCCCTTTAAATTTGCTACATTCTTCCTCTCGTTTTTTATCGTGACAATGTATTATCCGTGGTGAGAGTTCTCTCACGTCAAACGACACTTTACTTTATTAAATACGTCAGTAATGGAAAACATTACAATTTGCTACCTGTTTAATGATATCGAGGATCAAGCAGAATCTTTTTTTCCTGATTTCTCTGTAACTATCGAAAACATTAATCAGGGTAGCAAATTGTAATGTTTTCCATACTGACGTATTTCAATAAATGTAAAGTGTCGTTTGGGGGGACGTGAGAGAACTCTCACCACTGAAAAAACATATGTCTCAATTTTAAAAACAACGAGGAAAATGTAGCAAATTGTAAAGGGGAATGTTCATGAATTGGTTGTATTTCAGTCGTACTGTCTCCTCTGTTTGAGAAAACCACACAGCCCTCCTTCTACCTCCTGGCTCCCTCTTCTGAAAATGCTTGAGGCATACAAGCACTCGGCCCCTCCCCTCCCTCGTTCTGTCCTCTCTCTCTTCCCCTTCCTCCTCTCTCTCTCTCTCTTCTCTCTCTTCTCTCTCTGTTCTTTCTTCTCTCTCGTGAAAGAAAGAATTTTTTGTAGAAATTAAATATATACACACGATAATGTTACTGACATGGAGTCATAGGTCACCAGAATTTGAGTTAAGATTTATAAAGAGGCAATATTTAATTTTTATTTTTTATCTGGACAAGTTTTTTTTCCTACATTTTGGTCGATATAAAAAGTTAGAATGATCCTAGAGAGCATCAAATACTTTTGGAAAAAGTAGGGCTTAGGATAGCAGTTGAATGCAGAATTGGTATTTCAGGCAGTTAATGTATTTAAAAATGTTAATATTAATAATTCATAGGTTTATTTTGAATTGTAATTAATATTGGTTTGTTATGGTAATTAACACACTTGTTTTGTGCTTCTTGTTTGTTCTGTTTTTATCCGAGGGAAAAACTTCTGTCTGTTATATGGCCAAATCGTCGCCCACAAGACCTCAATCGGGCGCCATCGCCACGGACCATCTGCGTCTCCCCGTTTCACCCACAGGGGCAGCAACGTACTGCGAATCGGCTGCAGCAGCTAACGGAACTCTCGAAGAAGACCTCTACCGGCCTCCATTTCAGGAGAAGAACAGACTTTTGCACCAAACCGAGTGGAGTTATGTGCACGGAAAGAAGAACGTTTGTGTAAACCTAACAGAAGACGAAGGAGAAGAAGAAGTCTGTTCTGAGCAGTCTGTTACCTTCACTCACACAGATAGTAAACATGTCCCTTCATTCTGGAATATTCCCAAAGGCCCTGAAAACTGCAGTCATCAGGCCCCTGCTAAAAAAGAGCAGTCTGGATGCTACGGTACTTAACAACTATCGTCCCATCTCAAATCTGCCATTTATGGGGAAAGTCCTTGAAAAAGTTGTCTACCTTACAGCTTACTAGATTTCTTATAATCAACAACTCATTTGATATGTTTCAGTCCGGCTTTAGACCCCACCACAGCACTGAGACTGCTCTTGTCAAGGTTACAAACGATATCCGGCTGAACACTGACGCAGGCAAAGTCTCAATCTTAATCTTGTTAGATCTGAGTGCTGCCTTTGACACCGTCGACCATGAGATCCTCTTACAGAGACTAGAGGACTGGGTTGGCGTCGCTGGCACCGCCCTAAGTTGGTTTAGGTCTTACCTTGAGGACAGGAAGTACTTTGTGGAGATTGGAAACTGTGTCTCAGATCATATGGCCCTGACCTGTGGAGTCCCACAGGGGTCGATCCTGGGACCTCTTCTGTTCAATCTCTACATGCTGCCGTTAGGTCAGTTAATACGCAGAAACAAAGTTTCCTATCACAACTATGCAGACGACACTCAGATCTATGTCTCACTGACTGCAGGAGAACATGGACCAGTGGACTCACTCCTTCACTGTATCCAACAGATCAGATCAGATCAGATCAGAACCAGGAAGTACGACCATATTAGTCCAGTTCTCAGGTCTCTGCACTGGCTTCCTGTGGCTCAGAGAATAGACTTTAAAACAGCTCTGCTTGTTACAAGTCTCTCCATGGCCTCGCACCAAAATATATTAGTGACATGTTAGTCCCATATGAACCAGCCCGGACTCTGAGGAGCACAGGGACTGGACTCCTGCTGGGACTCTGAGGAGCACAGGGACTGGACTCCTGCTGGGACTCTGAGGAGCACAGGGACTGGACTCCTGCTGGGACTCTGAGGAGCACAGGGACTGGACTCCTGATGGGACTCTGAGGAGCACAGGGACTGGACTCCTGCTGGGACTCTGAGGAGCACAGGGACTGGACTCCTGCTGGGACTCTGAGGAGCACAGGGACTGGACTCCTGCTGGGACTCTGAGGAGCACAGGGACTGGACTCCTGCTGGGACTCTGAGGAGCACAGGGACTGGACTCCTGCTGGGACTCTGAGGAGCACAGGGGACTGGACTCCTGACTGGGACTCTGAGGAGCACAGGGACTGGACTCCTGCTGGGACTCTGAGGAGCACAGGGACTGGACTCCTGCTGGGACTCTGAGGAGCACAGGGACTGGACTCCTGCTGGGACTCTGAGGAGCACAGGGACTGGACTCCTGTTAGTGTCCAGAGTCAGAACTAAACATGGGGAGGCTGCTTTTCAGATTCATGCTGCTAAAATCTGGAACAGTCTTCCTGAAGATGTGAGACAGGCCTCCTCTCTGACAATGTTTAAAACCAGGTTAAAGACAGTTCTGTTTAACTGTGCTACAACTGAGGGATTTTATACTTTTATCTTTCTTTTTAATTTTTTGTGATTAATTATGATTTTAATGCTTTATTTTGTTCAGCACTTTGAGTTGCCTTGTGTATGAATTGGGCTATATAAATAAACTTGCCTTGCCTTGGATATAGGTTCATATATAAATGATTATGGATATAGGTTCATATATAAATGATTATGGATATAGGTTCATATATAAATGATTATGGATATAGGTTCATATATAAATGATTATGGATATAGGTTCATATATAAATGATTATGGATATAGGTTCAGAATCAGCGCTGATGATTGACAGCCCTTGGCATCACCTGATTGGTTAACGTTGACGGCATCGTGGATTCTCAGCTATAGCTAAGAGAAGGGAAGGCGGGACTTACTGTAATATTAGAATTCATAAAATGACTTATTTTATATCAATATTTAAGGCCAGGAGGTCAATTTAACACAATTCTTAACATTTGTAATTGATTTAGAGTTACAGACTATCACTTTAAAGATGGGTCACGGGGAGGGGGCTCTCTAGAAGAGCCACAGCAGAGGGAGGGTGGTAGAGCAGGGTGTGACAATACCCCACCCCTGCCCTTCCACTGAGGGAGGGGTACGTTCTGTCTGTGATGGTCCTGGACTCACCCTGGTTCTGTCTGTGATGGTCCTGGACTCACCCTGGTTCTGTCTGTGATGGTCCTGGACTCACCCTGGTTCTGTCTGTGATGGTCCTGGACTCACCCTGGTTCTGTCTGTGATGGTCCTGGACTCACCCTGGTTCTGTCTGTGATGGTCCTGGACTCACCCTGGTTCTGTCTGTGATGTCACATGTCCAGACTGCAGCGTGGCCGAGCGCAGGAGGCTGTTCGAGGAGGCAGGACCAGGACAGGAAGTGCTTTGGTCATCGGAGAGGAAGGGGCGGAGTCAGAGGAGACCTGTCAGTGCGCTGCTGCAGCGCCGCCACAGTCCTGGAGGTGAAATGCAGCTCCATCAATGTTTATGAAGTATTTCAAACACACTGTAATGATACATATATATATTACACATATATGAGCCACAGGTCGTCTCAAACCAACATATTCATGTGTAGTGTAAGCTAAAGGCACAATAACATAAATAATATAACATATAAATAACGTAACAATGTACAATCTAAGTCTTCTCACGTATAATCTATGATACATTATATATATATACATATATGTACGTATCTTCTCGCGTATAATCTAATGATACATTATATTTATATACATATATGTACGTATCTTCTCACGTATAATCCAATGATACATTATATATATATACATATATGTACGTATCTTCTCACGTATAATCTAGTCATTGTTCATTGTTATTTCCACGACTTTGACCCAATGCTATGGAGCTCCCTCAGAGAATAAGTCCAAACTTTTTGTTATTTACAGCTCAACAAATCACGAAATGACAACAAAGGGTCATAATTCTGCCTCAAAAGTTGTTAAAAGTAACATTTGTTATTTTTTGTATTATTGATCAGAACATTTGTCTCAGACATGGTTCTGTTGATCCCAGAGTGACTCCACTGTTGTCACGGTAACAGCCTTAATCCTCCTCATTGTTGAAAAAATTGGGGTTCATTCAAACTCTACAAGGAGTACGTCGCATTGAAAATAGTTTTCACTCAAAAAAAGTGATACTGAGCCGCGAAAAGCTTCTGTGTGTGCGTTTTTCCCAGGCCCCGGCGGTCCAAGATGGCGGCGTATTCAAATGAATGGTTTGTGCTCAGTGGCGCCAAAAGATTAGCAGAACTCGCCTGTATTTGGGCATCGTCTGGTCCTCCCGGTTCTGTGCAGTGGACGAGCTCCCATGATGCTTTGCAGCAAATCCGCATGTTGAGGCTTTCATGCACGTGCACAGAGGGGCTCGGCTGCGCTCTGACCAATCAGAGGGCAGCGTTCTGACTAATCAGAGCGGAGTCAGAGCGGGAAGGAAAGGAACAGACTCTATCCAGTTATTATAATAGCCCCATGGTATTACTATAACAGTTACTATAATAGCCCCATGGTATTACTATAACAGTTATTATAATAGCCCCATGGTATTACTATAACAGTTATTATAATAGACCCATGGTATTACTATAACAGTTATTATAATAGACCTATGGTATTACTATAACAGTTATTATAATAGACCCATGGTATTTCACTTTGGAGAGACCCAAGAGGGAAAATGCAGTTAGAAGTTTGTTGATTGAGCATGTTTGACGCCCTAGGCCCGGGAGAGATGCTGTTGAGTGCGGCGCTTGCTCGCGCGCATGATCCCCCCCGGGGCCTAGGCACTGGTGACGGCAGAGGCAGTAGGCAAGCACGCTTTGGTGAGAGAAGGAGGAGGTGGGGCGGCGGAGGCTTTGCAAACTTCAGAAGGCCGGAAAAGTGGGCGTCTCCGGCTTTTAACTTGCTGTCCTAGTGGTTATTGGTGGACTAGATGTGGGCGTTTTGCTGGTGTAATGAGTAGAGGATGAGCAGGCTTGTAGATCTGGCAGCAGTGGCCGGGTCTACCACAGTGAACTTTCGCGAAGAGCTTCATTACTATAACAGTTATTATAATAGCCCCATGGTATTACTATAACAGTTATTATAATAGCCCCATGGTATTACTATAACAGTTATTATAATAGCCCCATGGTATTACTATAACAGTTATTATAATAGACACATGGTATTACTATAACAGTTATTATAATAGACACATGGTATTACTATAACAGTTATTATAATAGCCCCATGGTATTACTATAACAGTTATTATAATAGACCCATGGTATTACTATAACAGTTATTATAATAGACCCATGGTATTACTATAACAGTTATTATAATAGACACATGGTATTACTATAACAGTTATTATAATAGCCCCATGGTATTACTATAACAGTTATTATAATAGACCCATAGTATTACTATAACAGTTATTATAATAGCCCCATGGTATTACTATAACAGTTATTATAATAGCCCCATGGTATTACTATAACAGTTATTATAATAGACACATGGTATTACTATAACAGTTATTATAATAGCCCCATGGTATTACTATAACAGTTATTATAATAGACACATGGTATTACTATAACAGTTATAATAATAGACACATGGTATTACTATAACAGTTATTATAATAGCCCCTGGCCACGCCCCCTTTTGGTCACGTGGTTCCAACCCAGCAATACACGTACATTATTATTATTATTGTTTTAATGAATGAATCTAATCACATAAAACTGTTTAGATGGAGTGAGTTTGACCCAGCAGGACCCTGTGGCCCCCCCGAGACCCCCTGTGGCCCCCTGCTCCTCTGTGTTCTATCCTGGACGAGTGACGGCACCTCTGGCCCCTGCACTGCACACACACAGGTACAGACACACACACACACACAGGTACACAGACACACACACAGGTACAGACACACACACACACACACACAGGTACCGACACACACACACGTACACAAACACAGGTACAGACACACACACACGTACACACACACAGGTACAGACACACACAGGTACAGACACACACACACAGGTACACACACCCACCCACACGTACAGACAAACACACACACACAGGTACAGACATACACAGGTACACACACACACATACAGACACACACACACGTACAGACACCCACACGTACAGACACACACACACAGGTACAGACACACAGGTATAGACACACACACGTCTGTATGTGTGTGTGTCTGTACCTGTGTGTGTGTGTGTACACACAGGTACAGACACACACACACACACAGGTACAGACACCCACACATACAGACACACACAGGTACAGGTGTAATAACTAATGCTGCTTTTCCACAGTAACAGTACGATACAGTACGACACGACACGTTACGGCACGGTTCAGTTCGGATGCTTTTCCATCAAAAATAGTACCTCCCAGTATCTCCTCAGCCTAAGGGTTAACCCTAACCCTGTCAGACCACTAACCCTAACCCTGTCAGACCACTAACCCTAACCCTGTCAGACCACGTCATTTACGGCGAGTAACTAGTAACATTGGTGCGGTGCATGGATTTATTATAATATCAGTGATAGCTGCTATTACCTCCTGCTCACCCCCTGTAGTACTGACTATTACCTCCAGGGGACTCTTACCCCCTGTAGTACTGACTACTACCTCCAGGGGACTCTTACCCCCTGTAGTACTGACTACTACCTCCAGGGGACTCTTACCCCCTGTAGTACTGACTACTACCTCCAGGGGACTCTTACCCCCTGTAGTACTGACTACTACCTCCAGGGGACTCTTACCCCCTGTAGTACTGACTACTACCTCCAGGGGACTCTTACCCCCTGTAGTACCGACTATTACCTCCCCAGGGGACTCTTACCCCCTGTAGTACTGACTACTACCTCCAGGGGACTCTTACCCCCTGTAGTACTGACTACTACCTCCAGGGGACTCTTACCCCCTGTAGTACTGACTACTACCTCCAGGGGACTCTTACCCCCTGTAGTACTGACTACTACCTCCAGGGGACTCTTACCCCCTGTAGTACTGACTACTACCTCCAGGGGGCTCCTCTTACCCCCTGTAGTACTGACTACTACCTCCAGGGGACTCTTACCCCCTGTAGTACTGACTACTACCTCCAGGGGGCTCCTCTTACCCCCTGTAGTACCGACTATTACCTCCAGGGGACTCTTACCCCCTGTAGTACTGACTACTACCTCCAGGGGACTCTTACCCCCTGTAGTACTGACTACTACCTCCAGGGGACTCTTACCCCCTGTAGTACTGACTACTACCTCCAGGGGGCTCCTCTTACCCCCTGTAGTACTGACTACTACCTCCAGGGGGCTCCTCTTACCCCCTGTAGTACTGACTACTACCTCCAGGGGGCTCCTCTTACCCCCTGTAGTACTGACTACTACCTCCAGGGGGCTCCTCTTACCCCCTGTAGTACTGACTACTACCTCCAGGGGACTCTTACCCCCTGTAGTACTGACTATTACCTCCAGGGGGCTCCTCTTACCCCCTGTAGTACTGACTACTACCTCCAGGGGGCTCTTACCCCCTGTAGTACTGACTATTGCCTCCAGGGGACTCCTCTTACCCCCTGTAGTACTGACTATTACCTCCAGGGGGCTCTTACCCCCTGTATTACTGACTATTACCTCCAGGGGGCTCCTCTTACCCCCTGTAGTACTGACTATTACCTCCAGGGGGCTCTTACCCCCTGTAGTACTGACTATTGCCTCCAGGGGACTCCTCTTACCCCCTGTAGTACTGACTATTACCTCCAGGGGACTCCTCTTACCCCCTGTAGTACTGACTATTACCTCCAGGGGACTCCTCTTACCCCCTGTAGTACTGACTATTACCTCCAGGGGACTCCTCTTACCCCCTGTAGTACTGACTATTACCTCCAGGGGACTCCTCTTACCCCCTGTAGTTCAATTCAATTCTTTTATTTACAAAACGTATTACATGACACACACAACACATGACACACACAACACAAAAACAACACATGACACACATAACACAAAAACAACACATGACACACATAACACAAAAACAACACATGACACAACACATAACACAACACATGACACAACACATAACACAACACACACACAACACATGACACAACACATAACACAACACATGACACACATGACACATAACACAACACATAACACAACACATGACACAACACATGACACACACAACACATGACACACATAACACAACACATGACACACATAATACAAAACACAACACATGACATACACAACACAAAAACAACACATGACACACATAACACAAAAACAACACATAACACAACACATGACACAACACATGACACACACAACACATGACACATAACACAACACATGACACACACAACACATGACACACATGACACATAACACAACACATAACACAACACATGACACACATAACACAAAACACAACACATGACACAAAAGACACATAACACAACACATGACACAACACATGACACACATAACACAACACATGACACATGACACACATAACACAACACATGACACACATAACACAACACATGACACACACAACACATGACACACATGACACAAGTAGTGTGTCCTTCTAGTGTCGTGTGTGTGTGTAGAAGTAGTGTGTCCTTCTAGTGTCGTGTGTGTGTGTAGAAGTAGTGTGTCCTTCTAGTGTCGTGTGTGTGTGTAGAAGTAGGCAAGGCAAGGCAAGTTTATTTATATAGCACAATTCATACACAAGGCAATTCAAAGTGCTGAACAAAACAAGAAAGCATTAAAATCATAAATTATCACAGAACATTAAAAAGAAAAGATAGAAATATAAAATCCCTCAGTTGTAGCACAGTTAAACAGAACTGTCTTTAACCTGGTTTTAAACATTGTCAGAGAGGAGGCCTGTCTCACATCTTCAGGAAGACTGTTCCAGATTTTAGCAGCATGAATCTGAAAAGCAGCCTCTCCATGTTTAGTTCTGACTCTGGGCACTAACAGGAGTCCAGTCCCTGTGCTCCTCAGAGTCCCAGCAGGAGTCCAGTCCCTGTGCTCCTCAGAGTCCCAGCAGGAGTCCAGTCCCTGTGCTCCTCAGAGTCCCAGCAGGAGACCAGTCCCTGTGCTCCTCAGAGTCCCAGCAGGAGGCCAGTCCCTGTGCTCCTCAGAGTCCCAGCAGGAGTCCAGTCCCTGTGCTCCTCAGAGTCCCAGCAGGAGTCCAGTCCCTGTGCTCCTCAGAGTCCCAGCAGGAGTCCAGTCCCTGTGCTCCTCAGAGTCCCAGCAGGAGTCCAGTCCCTGTGCTCCTCAGAGTCCCAGCAGGAGTCCAGTCCCTGTGCTCCTCAGAGTCCCAGCAGGAGTCCAGTCCCTGTGCTCCTCAGAGTCCCAGCAGGAGTCCAGTCCCTGTGCTCCTCAGAGTCCCAGCAGGAGTCCAGTCCCTGTGCTCCTCAGAGTCCCAGCAGGAGGCCAGTCCCTGTGCTCCTCAGAGTCCCAGCAGGAGGCCAGTCCCTGTGCTCCTCAGAGTCCGGGCTGGTTCATATGGGACTAACATGTCACTAATATATTTTGGTGCGAGGCCATGGAGAGACTTGTAACAAGCAGAGCTGTTTTAAAGTCTATTCTCTGAGCCACAGGAAGCCAGTGCAGAGACCTGAGGACTGGACTAATGTGGTCGTACTTCCTGGTTCTAGTCAGGACTAATATGGTCGTACTTCCTGGTTCTAGTCAGGACTAATGTGGTCGTACTTCCTGGTTCTAGTCAGGACTGGAGCTGCTGCATTTTGAATGTACTGCAGCTGTTTTACAGCCTGTTTGGACAGACCTGTGAGCAGGCCATTGCAGTAGTCTAACCTACTGGAGACAAATGCATGGATAAGAATCTCCAAGTCTGCTTTAGACACTATGTTTTTGATCCTGGCAATGTTTTTTAGATGGTAAAAAGCTGCTGATGTTACTGATTTGATGTGGCTATTAAAATTTAAGTCTGAGTCCAGTATTACCCCTAGATTTCTGACCTTGTTTGAAGGTTTTAGGGAGAGAGACTGTAGGTGACAGATGACGCTCTCTCTTTGTTTCTGGGGACCAAAGACAATCATTTCAGTTTTGTCTGCGTTTAGCTGAAGGAAGTTGTTTTGCATCCACTCACTGATCTGTTGGATACAGTGAAGGAGTGAGTCCACTGGTCCATGTTCTCCTGCAGTCAGTGAGACATAGATCTGAGTGTCGTCTGCATAGTTATGATAGGACACTTTGTTTCTGCGTATTAACTGACCTAACGGCAGCATGTAGAGATTGAACAGAAGAGGTCCCAGGATCGACCCCTGTGGGACTCCACAGGTCAGGGCCATATGATCTGAGACACAGTTTCCAATCTCCACAAAGTACTTCCTGTCTTCAAGGTAAGACCTAAACCAACTTAGGGCGGTGCCAGTGACGCCAACCCAGTCCTCTAGTCTCTGTAAGAGGATCTCATGGTCGACGGTGTCAAAGGCAGCACTTAGATCTAACAAGATTAAGATTGAGACTTTGCCTGCGTCAGTGTTCAGCCGGATATCGTTTGTAACCTTAACGAGAGCAGTCTCAGTGCTGTGGTGGGGTCTAAAGCCGGACTGAAACATATCAAATGAGTTGTTGATTATAAGAAATCTAGTAAGCTGTAGGTAGACAACTTTCTCAAGGACTTTCCCCATAAATGGCAGATTTGAGATGGGACGATAGTTGTTAAGTACAGTGGCATCCAGACTGCTCTTTTTTAGCAGGGGCCTGATGACTGCAGTTTTCAGGGCCTTTGGGAATATTCCAGAATGAAGGGACATGTTTACTATCTGTGTGAGTGAAGGTAACAGACTGCTCAGAA